ATGTATTAATTATAAAATAATTTATTTTATAATTAAAATAATTAAAGCTATTAAGGTTTAATTATTAGAATTTAATTAATTAAAACCTAAGATAAATAAAGCTTAAAAGGGAATAATATATAATAAATTTTAAAAGAGAGCTTAATATAATATTAAGGTTAACACTAGTTTTTCTCTCTCTTAATCTATTAAAGAGAAAAGTAAACTTAATTACGTTATATAGTAATATAAGGGGTAATAATACTAGGGACACTTTAAGCATAAATAATAGAAAGAGAGACCAATTAATACAACTAATGCCATAAATTATCATACAGACTGTTCTGAATGTGCTCGTGGCTGGGCAAAATCACGTGATTTCATTCACCAATCTGACACATGACCAGATGCGGATTCGTCACTGTGGCAAACTCAGCTGGCTCCTGCATGTACACCGTGCGGAGTGGGCCCGTGCCCTGTCCACGAGACGAAAATGGAGACAACAGAATAATCACGTCAGGCCGCAGGCTCAGCATCATAACAACGGGAAAACTGTTGATATTAGATTATAACCGTAGACAAGCCTTACTATAATACGTCAACGCATGCGGGCAGATCGGCTTGCACCGAAATTCAGGGCTCCTTGCGGTATTGAGCAGAAATCGTAGCACCAATCTACACGAGCAGGGTCTGGTCAAGAAGCACACAGTGGCGTGTGTCGAAGTGACAAAGAGTTTCTGTTGTAGAAGTACCAGACTTCATACGGAGTACAACTTGCAGGGAGGGCCGGAACGAGTGGCTCCGTGGCCTCCGTGATACATGGTCATAATAATCGCCAAGCATGTCAGTAGGCGCTTCGCCTAGCCAACCAGGGGACGGCCACTCAAGAAGGGGGGTGGGCGCAGTCTTGCCTCCTCTGCCAACTCAGAGTCTCATCTGTCAATCCTTCCTTCCAACACGTTTGACCAAATCGTCCTTCTCACGCTGCCCATCCATCAACATCGTTGTCATCGAATTTTCGAGCGCTCTTCCTCTGTCCGATCACACAGTTTCTTGACTTCGCCGCGAATCTATTCAATCCGCCGACCGAAGTTGTAGTCACCAAACTTCTCAAAATGTCCAACAACTTGTCCTATGGGCAAGGTGGCCATTATAGCCCCCAGGATGTGCCGCCATCCAACACCAGGAACGACTTTGCAGGCAGTCTGCCAAATGATAAAATACAAACAATTCACAAGGTGGGTTTCTCCCTATTGAGACACGAATGGCATGCTTTGATGCGGCCTGGAAATTAGGCTGTTGAATGCTCTCCATACCCAGCTGCTGTGCCTGTTTTAAAGACCAAAGTTTGTCCAGCCAGAAGGCAAAAAGCTATTCAAGCCGTGGAAAGTCACTTTGTGGAAATGCCAGTGACAATTGAAACTTGACTGGCTATCACTACTGCTTCCGCTCAATGCGCGAAATGCTGTCAACTATAGCCCATTCAGTGCTGACTTAACCGTAATAGAAATTGGCCGAGGCGACGGACATCGCGGGCCAGAATATTAACTCGATGAAGGATCGAGGCGAAAACCTCGATGGCCTGCAAGACAAGACCAGCAATCTGGCGGATTCTTCCCAACAATTCCGCCGCGGCGCCAACAGAGTTCGCAAGCAAATGTGGTGGAAGGACATGAAGATGCGCATGTGTTTGATTGTTGGCATCATTATCCTCCTGCTTGTTATTATCATTCCTTCCGGTACGCGATTGTTTTGCCTGGGGTTCATTAAATTCGGGACATGCCACTTGTCTAACATATTTTTCTAGTTGTTGCCACTCGTCATTAATCGCGATCCTTTTCTTTTTGGGTACAGGCTCTAGCAAGAATGGAGCGACTGTCTAGATACCAACGTAGTGGAACTAGTTATGTGCGACGGCAGCGGAACATGCGACGACAAGGCGATGAAGCCATCGGCACCGCAAATATCTAGTTTGAGCACGACGGAGTTGGTTCACCTGGAGCTGGAATAGTTTGTTTTGAGCTCACTCTGCCCACTCTGCTTTGTCTCTGGAAGATGGCCATGACACTCGCCGGTTGCGAGTGTCGGCTGCCTGTTAACCAGCTATCGGCGTAGCTAGTTGAGAGCAGCCCAGGCCTATATGTATGAAACAGGGTTGGGCGTGGCACACAGTATAATTGAAATGTTTTAGCCGTTTTGTTGTGACCTATTGTGTGCTGATGAATTTGCATGTGACGACGCGCCGTTCGATTGGATAATGGAGATCTTGCGAGGCCGAAAGCTGGGGAATGTCGTGGCCGGCCGAGTATTAGGTTGCATTGACAACTGGGCCTTGGGTTGTGCTCTGACATCGAGCCGGCTGAGAAAAGCCTCACGCACTGGACTGGAATGGGATATCGGCCACAGCTTGCCGGAAAAGGGGACGTGCGAGCTCTGGATAAAGCGGCACGCAATGAAACCTCGGACAATTACGCAACCACGCAAGGTTGAAATGGTGAGCTGATGGACCGGAGTGCCAGACTGCTCTACCATGCGGGGTGGAAATTGAAAAGGGGATGGGTCACCATTCAAACATCTGTGTCTTGTGAGCATGCTCAGGCCGCATTTGTGCGAGTACAGATACGCAACACTAGGTGGTTTGTAATTTGCACGAAACCAAGGTTGGAAGTTGTATGCGGTCTTTTTTATCAGTTGCCGAAACGGCAAGGACTGACAATTCGGCCGGGCTGGTAGGCGGGTCGGCAGACCGAACATCTTCATATTGCATACATACTACCGAGTATATATCATCAAGTTCCCGGTGCCCGCCCCTCTGATATTTTTGCTCCCTTTCGCAGAGCTCCCCTGCTCTCCTGCACTCGACCTCAATTGTCTCGGGACCTTTCCTCCCGCCCCGACGTCTTGCTGACTTGGCTTGTTGGCAATCAAAGACGGCCCTTCAGGTACCCAGTTGTAAGGGCTAGGTACCGAGTACGCTGCACTCAAGCCTCTCACCGCCCACGATAGACCGGTTTCGGGGCTGACAGTTGGTTTTTCTGCCGCTCCCCAACGATCTCAGATTCTCTCACGGCAAGCCACCATCGTTTTCTCGTGTCGTCCAATTCGTCCCAAATCTTCAATTAGGACGATGCTCTCTGCCACAGCTACCTCCTTGCGGGCAGGCTCACGACGAGCTATATCCCGAGTAGCTGGGGCCTCGTCCGTCGCGGCTCCGAGACAGATCCGACGTCCCAATGTCGCCCTATGCCGAGCCCTCTCCGCCACGAGCGCGTTGGCATCACCACCTGCCCGAGACCGTACACGAGAGATTGTTGCCCAGACTGTGAGCAGCATTGGCAGCAAGCGCGAGGGTCAGCAGTACCTCAAGCTGTTTACTTCGGTATCATCCCAGAAGTTCGCCGTCATCAAGGTCGGCGGTGCCATATTAACAGAACATATGAGTGAGCTTTGCCGGAGCTTGCTATTTCTATACGAATTGGGATTGTATCCTGTAATAGTCCATGGAGCTGGGCCCCAATTGAACCGGCTTCTAGAAGAAGCTGGTGTTGAACCCCACTTTGAGGAAGGTATTCGTGTGACGGATGCTAAGACGCTTGGTGTCGCCAGAAAGCTCTTCCTTGAGGAAAACTTGCGACTCATTGATCGTTTGGATGAGCTCGGTGTCGCCACCCGTTCATTGAGTGGCGTATTCATGGCGGATTATCTCGACAAGGAAAAGTGGCAGTATGTTGGCAAGATTACCAAGGTCAACAAGGAGGCTATTGAAAAGTCTATTGAGGCTGGGTACATTCCCGTCTTACCTTCCATGGCTGAGACTGAGGATGGCAGACTACTCAACGTTAATGCAGATGTCCTAACCTCAAACCTTGCCCGTGCTCTGGAGCCTCTCAAGGTTGTCTATCTTTCCGAAAAGGGTGGCCTCTTTGATGGCGAAGGCGAGAAGATCTCCCATATTAACCTTGATGAAGAATTCGATTATCTCATGTCTCAGCCCTGGTGCCGGTACGGCACTCGTCTTAAGATTAAGGAGATTAAGGAGCTTTTAGACACTCTTCCACGCAGCTCTAGTGTTGCCATCATCCATCCAAGCGAGATGCAAAAGGAACTTTTTACTGATTCTGGTGCTGGTACTCTTATCCGTCGCGGTGATAAGATTCAAAAGGTTTCTTCTATCAATGAATTTGAGGACCTTGAAAAGCTTAAGGCGTCTTTAATCCGGGATCGCGAAGGTCTGGACGCCGAGGCTACTGTTGAGCGGTATATTGATTTCCTCAAAGAGAATTCCTTCACTGCTTATTACGACGACACTATGCAATGCCTTGCCATTGTCATGCCGCCTAACAAGGACCGTCCTATGGCTACTCTGGCTACGTTAACCATCACCAAGTCTGGCTGGTTGACGAATGTTGCCGAAAACGTCTTTTCCGCGATTAAGAAGGACTATCCCAGCCTTGTTTGGACCGTGAGCGAGAGTGACGAGAATCTCACTTGGTTTTTTGAGAAGGCTGATGGCAGTTTCAATAACAACGGCAGCGTTCTCTTCTACTACGGCTGCGGCCTCCGATATGTGCCGCCG